ACACTTTTAAAAAATATTTCCCTTTAGTAGCCTCAGTGTGCTGGTTAGTCTTACATCAACTTGACACATAAACTAGAATTATCTGAAAAGGAGGGAACCTTGAAAAAAAAACTCCGTAAGATCCGGCTGTAAGACATTTTCTTAATTAGTGATTGATGGAAGAAGACTGAGCCCATTGTGGGTGGGGCCACCCTGGGGCTCATGGTCCAGGGTCCAGTTCGAAAACAGGCTTAGCCAGGAGCACTGTGCACGCCTGTAATCCCAGCACTCGAGGAGACAGGCAGGCAGATCTCTGTGAGTTCAACTTGGCCTACAGCGTCAGATCCAGGACAGCCAGACTGTTACTCAGAGAAACCCTGTCTCGGAGAGGCGAGGGGAGGGGAGGAAAGAGGGGAAGGGAGGGAGGGAGAGAGGGAGGGAAGGAAAGGAAAAAGAAAGCAGGATAAGCAAGCCATGATGAGCAAGCCAATAAGCAGTACTCCTCCATGGCCTCTGCATCACCTCCTGCCTCCAGGATCCTGCCCTGTTTGAGTTCCTGTCCCGACTTCCTTCAGTGATGAACTGTGATACAGAAGTATAAGCCAAATAAACTCTTTCCTCCCCTAACTAAGACACCCAGCAAAGTTTTTAAACAGCAGAAGGGCTAACAGTCTAGAAGACAAACACATTACAAAATGTGACTGGTTAGTCCGCTTGCTTAAAACTCATTATAATTGTCATTTTCTCAAACCCTCATTTCCTAAGTCAGCTGAGTTAACAGACACGACTCCCATTACCACGAGAAGAGAGAAAGTTCACACTGTAGTCTCCTGGCGGTAAGACACAAAACCATCTATAAAGTGCTCGTGGTAAGGAAACTGAAATCTAAATCTAAGCAATCCTCTACCAATTCTAACTTCAAGAAACAGGGACTGGGGAACACATTTAAAAACATGATCATGTTTTTCTTTTTTAATGGGTCAATGGGTGAAGGGCTTGCTATGCAGGCATGAGAACCAGAGTTCAGTCCCTCAGCCCCGTGTGAAAGCTAAGCACAGCAGCACACATCTGTAACTACAGTGCTTGGGTAGTGCAGACGGGGGGATCCAGTGAGGGGCCCTGTCGCAGAAAATAAGGGGAGAGCAATGGATAAAGATACCTGACATCAGCTCGGGTCTCCATATGTTTCAGATTCCTCATTCTCCAAATTCAAGGGTTATCATTATCCGCATATCCAGTCCAAAAATCCTTGCTGTGGTACCTGATCTGTACGTCTGGTCTTTATCTGCTGTGGCAATCATTTTCCACATAAACCCTACTGATTCCAACCTAATATATTCCACTTTTACCTTCAACTTTAAACAACTTATTCCCTAGTGATCCTCGCCTCCTATTTCATCCTGAAACGTTCTCCTGGCTCATTTTCAATCCAAAGAGCCCCCCTTCCTTCTGTTTTCACAATTAATATTCTCTTCAAGCTTTTCCAGACTGGAGAGACGGCTCATTGGTTAAGAGAAGTAGGTGCTCTTCCAGAGGACCTGGGCTAGATTCCCAACACCCACCTGGTGGCTCTCAACCATTTGTAACTCCAGTTCCAGGGGTCTGGTACACTCTGCTGGCCTCCACGACACCAGGTATGCGTGTGGTGCACAGCCATACGTGCAGGCAAACATCCATACACACAAAATAAAAATTTAAAAAATAAAGATTTTTCCAACTATCCAATGTATGCAAATAGACTTCACAGACTTCTCTTATTGATCTTTTTGGAGAGAAGTTTTTTTAAGTAAAAGCCATACTTTAAAAAAAATAGTTGCTTTTATTTAATGGATTTTTTTTAAGTACTCTCTCTTTTTTTTTTTTAAGATTTAATTACTTATTATGTATACGGTGTTCTGTTTGCATGTATGCCTGCAGGCCAGAAGAGGGCACCAGATCTCATTACAGATGGTTGTGAGCCACCATATGGGTGCTGGGAATTGAACTCAGGACCTCTGGAAAAACAGCGTTCTTAACCTCTGAGCTGTCTCTCCAGCCCCCTTAATGGATGTTTATAATGTGTGCAGCATTAGTCTTGGTTTCAATTAATACTCAAAATCACTCTGGAAGGGAGACATTACAGTCATCTTGACGTATCTCACAGGGAAACTGTAACCCTGGAGTTTGTATTCATTACCCACATCACACTAAGTGGCAGAGCTCTTTTCTTTGTCTTATTTCCTCATGACACAGGTCTCACTAGGTAAAGCTGCCCTCAAATCCATGATCCTTCTGCTTTAGCTCACTGAGCAATGAGACTGCAGAAGGACCCAACACTGTCAGATCTGCTCAGATTTCTAGCTGCAAGTCTTCAGAACCAAGTTCTCAGCCACCTCTTCTGTGAGTCAACAGTAACTAGCTCAAGGCACGAAGTCCAATGGGGCTATTTTATAAATAGTTAACTCAAAAGTGAACCATAACACTAGTTTGAAATTCACATTTCTGTAGTTCATATTGAAATCGTCAGTATTGAGTCTCTCTACAGTAAACTATAATATATCACAGAAGAAACACTGAAAGAAACAAAACAGTTTTCCCTACTTCTTCATATCTTTGCTCCAACTTCTCAGGGAACAGAATTCAGAATTAAAAAAATAAATCACTGCAGTTTCATCTGATTCTGGCACAGAATTTAATACTATGTAGTTCATATTTAGTTTCCTTTCTGTTGCTGTGATAAAAGACTGAACAAACAACTTGAGGGGGGAAAGGATTTATTTGGCCTAAACTTTCAGGTCACTGTCCTGTCCATTCTTTTTTTTTTTTTGCCCCAAGACAGGGTTTCTCTGCGTAGCTTTGTGCCTGTCCTGGAACTCACTCTTTAGCCCAGGTTGGTCTCGAACTCACAGAGATCCGCTTAGCTCTGCCTCCCGAGTGCTGGGATTAAAGGCGTTCGCCACCACCACCCACCCACTGTCCATTCTTTTTTTTTTTTTTTTTTTTTTTTTTTTGGTTTTTCGAGACAGGGTTTCTCTGTGTAGCTTTGCGCCTTTCCTGGAACTCACTTGGTAGCCCAGGCTGGCCTCGAACTCACAGAGATCCGCCTGGCTCTGCCTCCCGAGTGCTGGGATTAAAGGCGTGCGCCACCACCGCCCGGCCCCACTGTCCATTCTTAAGGAAAGAACTCAAGGCAGGAACTCATTCACAGCCAAGGAGTGCAGCACAAACCATGGAGGAATGCTGCATGCTGGCTCGCTTAAGCTCATTCTTTCTTAGACAGCTCAGGACTACCTGCTCAGGGAATGGTGCTACTCACAGTGGGCCTGGGCCCACTATATTCCAAGCCTATTATTGACAATTCTTATCATCACTAAGGCATCAAGGACATTTCAGCCATAAGAACAGTGAAACAGCTTTTCTAAAGATGATTATGGTCAAGTAATAATACAAGGTTTAGTTTTAACTTTTTCTGAAATCACAGTAAAAATAAAATAACCATCAGCTGCCCATTTCTAGCCAGGTACCATGCCCTGTATAAACTACATTATTTCCAAGCTCATTTTATTCCCTATTAACAAGTGATCACTTTTAAGTTTAACCTTTTTTTAATGTTTAAGGAACCAAAACAAATCTGAACGAGAAATTCAAAAAAGGTTTGAATCAAGTTAATCCAACTCAATAAAACTGCATGTTGCTATTAATTATTACACTGTCCCTACACTGGGGCCTGAACAAAGGACATCCACTCAATTAAAATTTACAATCACCTTGATGAAACAGTAACTCATCTCCGTAGTAAAATCAAAAACAGGAAGCTGGCCACTGCCTTGCTCCCACAGGGATTTTCTTGAAGGAAACTTGTAGGGATGATGATTTAGCTTAGTGGAAGAATGCCGGTTCCATCATCACCACCACCAAGAACCGCATTCACAAATAAACGAACCCCCCGACTACATTTCATAGAGGAGACCTTTACTTTGGGTAAGAGCAACACTGCTAACAAAAATTCTATAAATCAATATTTAATAGAATCACTCAAATATAAGAGCTAAAATGATTGTTCTGGAGTAAAGCCCTTATTTATTTATTTTTTTATTTATTTATTTTTTTTTTTGGTTTTTCGAGACAGGGTTTCTCTGTGTAGCTTTGCGCCTCTCCTGGAACTCACTTGGTAGCCCAGGCTGGCCTCGAACTCACAGAGATCCGCCTGGCTCTGCCTCCCGAGTGCTGGGATTAAAGGCGTGCACCACCACCGCCCGGCAAGCCTTTATTTTATAACGACATATCATCCACTTATTCTATACCAGGGGTGAATTTTTTTAATTATTGGATAGTATATACTTTCCCTGCTATCCACATTTACTTTAATTTCAGAATCTAATTCAGGAAGCATTGTTGATTAAACTTTCAATTTTCCACACACTATACAGTGCAGTTGCTTTTAATTCTTTATTACTTTAAATGTTTCATTCACTCTCCTTGCTCAGAGCTGCACACGATTTGAGATTTAGAGGTATTTAATTTCCTTAACAATTAATATTCTCTTGATTTTACTAAGATCCAAAAAGGGTTTGAGAAAGCAAATACAAACTATTACATCAGTATGTCTGAGACAATATGACTGGGAAGGAACAGAGAAGTAAAAAGGATCTGAAACAGAAATATCAGAAATTTGACATGACTCTGCTCCAACAAGCTGTAAACAATCTGTAATTCTCATAACAATGTGGGAGTTAGAGTATTATTTTTAAAATATTTCAAGTAATTTGCTTTTGCAAGGCATGTGACACTTGCTTTTAATCCCAGAACTTGGGAGGCAGCAGAGGCAGATCTCTATTAATTCAAGGCCTGCCTGGTCTACATTGTGAGTACCTGGCCTGCTAGGACTACATAGTGAAACTGTCTCAAAAATAATCCCAACCACCCAACCAAATAAACAAGCCTTCGCTTTCAATGAGTTGTCAAGAATGAAGTATGGCTCACATCACGCACTCCACAGCTGTAGGTGACGCGTCCTTACCGTACTGTTTTAAACTACTCACCGAAGCTCTGTCAGGGTCTCCGTCTGCTAAGCCTGCCTCCATAGTGGAAGGTCGATTTATGCTTCTCCCTCCATTAATGCTTAGCCATTCTAGAAGTCTGGAAACCCTAGAAGAAGAAAAGTGTATGTATTAGGACTGGCTAACAATTAAGGCAAGTAGAAAATAAACATTAATTATAGTAGAAGGCAAAAACATTTTATACTAAGGTTACTGGAAAATTAAACAAAAAAAACCCAGATTTTGACAAAGTTTTTTCGTTTGTTTTTGTTTGAAGAATTAATCTTGGTTATTAATTAGATGGCTCAGTGGTTAAAAACACTTGCTGCTCTTGCAGGGCACCTGAGTTCAATTCCCAGCATCCACTTGGCAGCCAACAGCCATCTATTACTCCAGTTCCAGGGGGCCCAACACCCCCTTCTGGCCTCCATGGTCACTGCACACATGTAGTGACAGACATACATGTAAGCAAAACACCCATAAACATAAAATAACAAAATAATAATCATACATGTTTTTTAAAAGAATAAAAGTTCGAAGAAAAATGAAACAGAAAATTTATCTCAGGTGAAAAGAAATACCTAGAGGTAAGCTTTAAAAAAAAATGCAACTGAGCCAGGCAGTGGTGGCGCACACCTTTAATCCCAGTGCTGAGGAGGCAGAGCCAGGCGGATCTCTGAGCTCGAGGCCAGCCTGGGCTATGGAGTGAGTCCCAGGAAAGGCGCAAAGCTACACAGAGAAACCCTGTCTCGAAAAACAAAAAAAAAAAAAACAAAAAAACAAAAAGCAACTGCCCAACATCTGGGCAACAGCAGAGGCCAGAAGAGTGATGAGGCTCCATCAAACTCTACCTCAAGAAAACAAAACCAAGGATGTCTCCTGGTTTTTCACATGCTGTATTTTAACACAGTTTTGTTTATGCCAATATAATCAAGAAGAACTATTTTATTCACTAATCATATATTGACTAGGAATAAAAGACATAGGCATCCCTTCAAAATAATACTTTATATACAAATATAAAACAAAATATTATATATAAGCCCCCAACTGGATCAGGCCCTCTGGATAAGTGAGACAGTTGATTAGCTGGAACTGTTTGGGAGGCCCCCAGGCAGTGGGACCGGGACCTGTCCTCAGTGCATGAGCTGGCTGTTTGGAACCTGGGGCTTATGCGGGGACATTTTGCTCAGCCTGGGAGGAGGGGACTGGACCTGCCTGAACTGAATCTACCAGGTTGAACTCAATCCCCAGGGGAAGTCTTTGCCCTGTAGGAGACGGGAATGGGGGGAGGACAAGGGATTCCGTGGCTGATATGTAAAATTAAATTAAATTATAAAATAAAATAACATAAAAATAAATATTATATATAAATATAAAACAGGTAGGCTAATTAAAATACAAAAAGTGGTGAATGGGCAGCCTGAAGTTGAAGCTGGTGGTCTTGGGAATACAGTTGGTAAAACAAGATATGTACAGACGTGCAAATAAACAGGATGTGGAAATAGCAGATGGAAACCAAGAAGCACAGAGGTACAACATCTGCCTAATAACGACTCTATCGTTATCCAGGTGTGGTACATGGGTACCTCTAGTCTTAGTACTCAGGAGACTGAGACAGGAGGATCACTAAGAGTTAAGAGGCCACCCTGGGATACATTAACAAGAAAAACAAAACAGAAAACCCAACTCCAACAGTTAATAAACAATACAAGGAAGAAGTAATTAACAAAAGAAGCAGAAGAAACTTCCTGCACTGGAAAAATATAGGTCTTCATAATGAGAAGACCTCTTTGAAAGCAAACAGAATTATTCAATGTCTCAGCCAATCTGTGCCACCTTCATAACTAAATCCTGCACATTTCAAATGCCACCATGTAGACAGAAGAGGAATTTAAAAAAAGCATTGGGTGACTTTTCTTCATTTAACTTACTGGAGTAGGTGTAATTATCCTTTTCCTTTTCTCAATGACATTTCAAACATCTAGAGAACAGCATAAAATAAATATTGCTGACACTGACCTTTTTTTTTTTTAATCATGGACTCCAAATGAAAGTAATACCTCCCCTGTAAATGTCTTGCCATCCAACAAAGCAGGGTAGAAAGATAAAGCTATGTTGAAGTGAGTTACAGAGCCTGAGAAGTTCCAAAATCCATCCTTCTTTAACCCTGCCTAAAAGTCAGTGTGTATTCTTCCCAATGTAATTTTCACTTAGAGCAGGGAGAAGACTTGCTCATAAAGCCCTTGACATATAGCATGAGGACCTGAATTGTATCCCCAAACCCACGGTAAAAGGCATGCTTGGTGGCACATGCATGTAATTCTATTACTGGGAAGAGAGAGACAGCGGGATCCCTAAGGCTTACTGGCTAGCCAATTGGGCCAAACCAGTGAGCTCCAGGTTCAGTGGGAGACACTGTCTCAAAAACAAGGTAGAGAGTAATAGAGGAAGCTACCCAGTGTCAACCTCTGGCCTACACACACAAATGCACACATGTGCATACACACAGAGAAAGACAATACACACACAAGCTCACAAAAACTTCATGTAACTGAACCTTATATATGTAAACTTTTAATTCAGGGGTATGGGCATGTGATTAAACCACAGCACATAATCTAGAAATGATCTTTATAGTTCTAAAGGGTTATAAAGGAAAAATAGGAGTAGTGAACAGGAGGACAAAAATAAGTAACACAAGACACTATGTAGACCAGAAAGCCTGAAGTCCTAACCAGCCTTGACAATGATGACAACTGGGTCTCACGTGAATGTTTCATCCAAGGGTGACTCAACAGTGGGAGACTCTAATGACCGAATGGACAGCGGCCCGTTCTGTGATGTCATCCAAGGGTGACTCAACAGTGGGAGACTCTAATGACCGAATGGACAGCGGCCCGTTCTGTGATGTCATCCAAGGGTGACCTCAACAGTGGGAGACTCTAATGACCGAATGGACAGCGGCCCGTTCTGTGATGTCAGGGAGTCTTTCCCCCAGGCATTCCTGTTTGCCCAATAGATTCATGAACAAAGTGGTCATGGTGGCAAGGATGGAATTGGGATCAGGAATATGGCTTTCTATTCCCCAATTAGGCAGGCAGCAATGCCTTCCTGGAGCATTGCTCACCAAAAGCTTACACATACAGATTCTGAAAAAGACTTCTACTATACGGTACTGCTTCTCCATTAGTTAGGATACATACTTCTCAAGGTGCTGTTTCCAAAGGGATGAATGCTACATTTGGGAGACACAATAATGATCTCACTTGGCTAGAGACGGAAATTACACCCTAGCCATCTTGGAGTATCAGTGCCTCTGAAACAACTGATTTCAGTTACTACAGAGACATCACACTGGTGGTCCACAATGAAGGTAAGAAAGGCTACATCCAAAGTATAGGAAAACCCTTATTAATCTCTTTGTATTACTATTTCTCATGATTAATGTTAATGGAAAACTACAGTAGTACAATCCAAACACTGTAACTAGACAAGATGCTTGCAGAGAGTAAACCGTATAAAATGGATATACTAGAAGATACAAATATATGTGTGCTGTGACTATAAAGTTACAGAGAACTGTACTTTATTTTGAGCATGTCCATGTGCAAGTCAAATAAGTTTGATTTCTTCCCTCTCACTGGCTTATAATGTAAGATATACTGACCTCACATTATATTTAAAGCCATTGTTGTTGTTATTATTATTATTATTATCATTATTATTACAAATGTACACATACGATGGGAGGGATGCACAGGCTATGATGTATATGTGGAGGTCAGAGGTCAGCATATGAATGGGTCCTTTCCTTCCGATGTGGATTGCAGGGATCAATGCAGACTGCAGGGCTTGCGTGCATGCAGGCCCTTCTACCCACTGAGCCCTCACTGACCCTCAGCTTCACCTGTGTAAAGACCCGTTGTCTCCACATGCAGCTACAGTCTCAAGTACTAAGGTTGGAAGTGCATTGTGAATTAGTGTGAGTGTGGTTTACAGAAGCATATACGGTGCCAGGCTGACTTTACAGGACCACTTGGTTGCACTATGGTAACCAGATATTCCGTCATGTACAAGTCTAGATGATGCTGAGAAGGTAGCTTTCAGATGTGACTAACATTTAACCCCTCAAAGTGAAAGTGAAATAGGTTAATTTCCATAATGTGAGTGGAACTCAGCCAATTAGTTGAAGGCTGGAAAAAAAACAACAAAGACTGATATTCTCTAAAAAGAAGTAACTCTGCTTCCTGATCCCCTTTCATTCAAGACTCCAGTACCAACTCCCTAGGTTTCCAGTCTGCCTTGCATATTTCATAAATATAACTCCTCACCAATGCAATGAGCCAGTTCCTCAAAATGGGCAGAATAAGGGGCTTCATTTAATCAGCTAAGCCTTGGGGAGAACTATGATCCTCTAAAGAAGGAAGGTGGCCTTGTCAATTTTAGAGGACTGTTCATTTTTATTGGTGTGTCTTTGTTGTTGCTGCTATTTCTTCAGTTTTCAACAATCTCTTGGAGTGTCGTGGCTAGAACACCCTATGTAGCACTGGATGACCCTGAACTCTGATCCTTCTGTCTCCACTTCCCACACGTTAGGATTACAAGCATGCACTCTCCAAAGCCTTCTGTATGCTAGGTAGCTACTAGTTATTCTACTAACTAAGCTATAACCCAAGTCCACAGATTTTATTTCTAAGCCCCAATAATTACATTAGCCAATTCCTCAAAATCAAACATTTGATATCCCTTCCTACTCCCTTTTACACACACATACAAAATTGATTATGTTTTTCTGTAGAACCCCAAGTCCAAAAATATGTAGGCATGTGTGATAGCTTAAACGAGATGTACCCCATATTCTCCGGCATCTGCATACGTAGTCCCCAGTTGGTGACAATGTCTGGGTAGGGTGTGGCCTTGCTAAGGAAATGTGTTTTGAGGTTTCAAATGCCATGCACTGTTTCCAGTGTGCATGTGGTTCAGGGTGTGAGCTCTGAGCTCTTTCTGCTGCCCTGCCTGGTGTTTACTGCCATACCTCCCTACCGTGAAGATGGACTCTTATCCTTCTGGAACTATCAGCCAAAAACAAACCCTCCTTTCCATAGG